CTGAGATTTTTAACAGTGCACCAAGAGTATAAATTTGAAGCTAAAGCTGCTGATCATTTCTATTTCTTCTTGGCTCAAACACTGAATCTGATTCTGGTGAAATTTGTGAAATCCATAGAGTAGGAATAGTTGACAGGTAGGTAGGAAGGTAAGCAGGTAAATAGAGATAGAGAGATAGAAAGATGGAGAGACAGAGAAAGAGAGAGATTATTTGAAGAACCAGAAAGAATTATACTAACATTTTTTGAACTTTTTATTTTTGGGAACACCAATGTACTGATGCAGGTTTTCTCTGTGTATTTGAGCACTCACATTGTCAAAATCATATCTTTCCTTCCCTTCCCTGCTGTAATTTTGCTTTCTGTCCTCTTCCTGTATCTTAATTGACCTGGGTAGGTGATCTCTCACTTTTTCTTTTATGTTTTTAAACTTTTTTTTAGGTGCTAAGGACATTACTATTTAAGAAATGCCTTACATCCCCTATCCTTTTTGTTTTCTAAGAAGGCCTGCAATGTAAATTCAGGGTAAAGAGCTATTCTTGGAGACAATGTATTATGTTTCAAAGATTACTGTCCCTGCTTTCATATCAGTGTAAAAAGAGTTTTGGGGGAAAAGTGTTGAGTCCCCCTGTCCTTGGACTAATATTCTCCAGCATCTGATATCAGTGAAGATGCAGAAGAAACAGGAATCCTGATAAAAATATGACGATAACAAAAATATGAAGAGTAAAAGAAATGAATCAGAAGAGAGGAATAAAATTCAAATTGCCCCTGATATAATGGAAAACTGGGGTGACACCAACAAATGGCTAACTAGTTGCCAACACTGTAAGGGGTTAGAGCACATCGATGTTGGTAAGCTATTTCTCAAGAGGAAAAACTCCTGAAACATTTCTGTATGCAAGGGCAAGGCAAGAATAGGTAGGATTCCAAGGCAAGAGAAAGGACATTACACTTGCTATAGGACACTTACTATAACTTTTAGACTAACCTTGGACAGATTAAACACAAACATCATTTCTCTAGATCACCAGGGACTAGAGGACTTGGAGAAAGGTTAGCATTTCCCCTCTAATTAGCAAAATGACTGTATTCCAGTCCTGTTTCTTTGGAGGGTTCACAGCTGCCCAAGGACTGCTGGGGAAAAAATAGGTCAGAAGTGCTACCCTTTCAAAAGAGCCCTCACAATTCACCTTGTCCCTCTGAAATCTCAGAGGTTAGCTGTAACAGGCAAAGAGTTGTCACTGTGAATTTTGATAATTCATACCTTTGTTTTTATTATTTTAAAAACCATCTTCCTCCTTTTGCATGAAGATTTCCCCTCAAGAAAAGATTACTTGGAGTGATCACAGCTTCAAGCTGAAGCTATTTTTTTGTTGACCATGTACTTGAACAGATGGGATGCTGGCTCAAGACTGCTGGTGTTTAAAATTAGTCTGTTTTTCTTGTTCCTTCCTGAGAGTGTCCATCAGAGTTTGAAATCCATGTGCCACCAGGCCTCGAAAGCTCCAGGGGAGTTTTCTAGCTACAGCAATGATGTTATACTTGGGGGATTTGTTTCCTTTTTAAATATTGATGAAACCTTACAGAGTTGCACCAAAGAGCCAGAGTTTTACTTATTTTCACAGTAAGTACTTCTTTCTTCTTTGAATTATGTTCATTACAGCTTCATAAAAATCTGATAGAATCTAGCCAAGAGGCAAGTAATGCTGGTTCAGATGTCACATTTACTGATACTATACATTATGCACATAAAGAGAGATCTTGAGATTACCTATATGTACTCCAGACAGCTGTTTTTGTGAGTAGATGACAGAAACGAATGTTTTTACAGCTGCTTGTGATCAGCTGGGAATCACAGGTTCTATCATGCTCTGAGCCATTAATGCAGCCTTTTACAGATTCAAGCTTTGACCAAACCTTATCTTTTTAATCACTTTGGAGCTTAATTTTTTAATTTTTTTTTTATTGAAAAGCCTTCAGAACTGCAAGTTTAGTATTTCTGGGTAAGTCTTCCTTCAATCCATTTAAAAAGAAACACAAAGTGTTTCCAGCTTTGTAAATTCTTTATTTTTTGCAATATACAGCAAAAATGTGATTATAGTGTTGTTTTTGGAAAGTTTTCAAATGCTAAGGGTTTGAATGAAATTGATTTAAAGAAAGACTTTGGAGTTAATTAGAAAGATAGTCTTGGGTGGGAAAAAAATTTCTTGCTTGCATTCCAAGCTGATAACAAGACTTTGAAGGTTCATCACTAGAGAGCACCAGATGGCTACTTTAATGGAAATGGTTTATAAGTTGGCTCATGAAGTGCTTGGACTATTTAACTCTAAACTGGAACCAAACGTTGTTATTGAAGAGGAACAAGTCCCTTTGAAGATAACCAAAATGGGCTTTAAGGTAGACTTAAAAATTATAACCTACAAGAAAGAGATGAAAACACTGGATTTACAAATGGAATTGGATGATCATTTAAAAATTTAAAAAGACATACAAATAATGTATGAAAAGAGCAATGTGGATTACCTTTTTAAATTGGAATAAAGGAGATCTACTGGAGTTACTACATGAAAATTACAAATGGACTTGGATAAAGATGACAAGAATTTCAAGAGAAGAGACAAAGATAGTACAAGAAAGCAGAAATTAGAACTTAAATTATGGGACAGGATTGCTGGGAGGAAGAAGAAAAAAAATACAACATTGGTTGTAAACCATAACCATGTCATTTAACCATAACATTTGATTATGGTTAAATAATGAGTTACTATCCCTGGTGATGCTTAATGGAATGAATTTAATGAATTTAGTGAATTATAATGCATGGCTCCTATCATGTTGTTAAAATATTTGCAGCTTTTGGTCTGGTCAGCATAATGTGCAAAGCAGAAAGACTCTAAGTAAAAAATCAAAATTTATCTCCTTCGCACAAATAGCTGAAATTACCCACAAAACTGGTTTGCTTCTTTTTATAATATATGATTTGTGCTTGTTCACTCTTATTTCAGCATGATACCAAAAAACTTCCAGCACATTCTTTCTATGTATTTTGCCATTCATGAGATCAACAAGAACACCAAGCTGTTACCCAACATAACACTAGATCTGGAGGTTTATGAAAACAGTTTCAAAGTCAGGCTGGCCAGCAAGCACCTTCTGGATCATCTCTTTTTGAAACAACAGAATCCCATCAACTACGATTGTGTCAGAAGGAACAAGAGAAAGATCTTGCCTATCATTGGGGGCCTCACCTCCTCAAATTCCATCCACATGGCCCACATTTTGAACACCTACAAGTTTCCTCAGGTATGAGCATTTTTAACAGATCAACTTGCAGTTTTAGAAATGATCAGTCCACACAGAATGTGTAAGGTTAAAGCATACTAGTCAGCAAACTGAACTGCATTTCTTTCTATTGGGAATATATTTATTTAAGGGTTTTAATTAATCATTTGTTCAAAAAAAAAAAAAGCAAACATAACTCATAATAAACACTGACAGTTTTCTAAAGCAGAGGATACGCAAACAGATGGCCTCCAGTATTTTGGAATTTCTGCCCAGGAATCCTAACTAGGATTTCCAGGGTCACTAACATTTGCATTATATGTTCTACCAATATACATGGTGCCATCTGCAATTTTATGCCAGTATCTCAGACTTTACTCTTTTGCCCAAAGAAGTGCCATTTTGATCTCCTCCTAAACTAACATGTAATCTTCTTTGATGCAACCTTGCAACTGCCCACTCCCAGGACAAGTTGTAAGGATGCAAAAGATTATCCTGGCCTCAGACAGTTATGCATCACCTTTATAGGAATAAATGCATTAGGACATTTCTTACAAGAAAACCATGGATATCACTGAGGAAAATTGCATGTTTCCACTTCACAGATCCACATCTTAATGGTGCAAATAAGGATGGGGTGAAAAGTACTAAGAACCATTGATTACAGACCAAATGTTCATTAAGAAAATGGGTCAAAAAGACCTCCACTCATTGGTAATCATCAGTTCCCATCAGTTTTAATGAGCCTATCCAATGATGAGAAAAGATAGAAAATGAAATCTACAACATTTCCCAATTCTGAATGGGAACACAAGTTCTCAGACACTCTGGTGTGGAGGTTATGATCTTCCATGTAAATCTTGATGGCAACATTTGGGTTTTTGTAATTCAGTTGTAATGTCACAGTAGCACCCAATATTCTAGGGAGAATGGAACAGCTTTATGTTCTTTGCTAGAAAAGGATTTTCAATTTAATTGTCAATGCATCTTTCTTCCACGCAGCTCAGTTATGGCTCCTTTGACCCAGTCCTGAGTGACAAAAGGAGGTTCCCTTCCTTCTTCAGTCTGGTTCCCAATGAGAACTTACAGTATGAAGGGATTGTTCATTTACTGAGGCATTTTGGATGGAACTGGATTGGCCTCTTAATGTCAGAGGATGAGAGCAGGGAAACCTTTCTCCAAAATCTCCAACTAAAGCTCTTTCAGAATGATATTTGCATTGCTTGGATGAAGTTGATCCCACTTTTGATAAATTTGAGAGCAAATAAAGATGCCCTTCTTGCAAGCCTAGACAATGTAAGAGATGCCCTGTTACAGGAGAAAATCAATGTGTTCCTTGTCTCTGGTATTGCCCAATCTATGGAGAGTTTACAATGGGTTCTACATTTCTGCGAGTTTTCCATGATGAGTCCAATAGCTCACAGAGTGTGGATCGTGACCTCTCAGTGGGATTTCACTGTCACTTTAACCCCAGCGGGGAGTTTCCCAGCCCAAACTTTCAATGGTTCCTTATACTTCTCACTCCACACAAACATGGTGCCAAGATTTCAGGAGTTTCTTGAGAGCATAAACCCTTTGTTAAATTCCATTCCTTACATTGGTTGGTTCTGGGAGTCTGCATTTCACTGTTCACTCCCTCCGTATCGCAAAGGAGAAAAATGCTGCACTGGGAAGGAAAAAATAGGGAGTCTCCCTGGCTCTGTGTTTGAAATGACCATGTCTGGAGAGAGCTACAATATCTACAATGGGGTTTATTCTGCAGCACATGCTTTGCAAGCAATGGATTTAAGAAGAAGAAAGCCAGCTTCTCGGAGGAATTGGGATCGAGCAAATCTCTGGGATATTCAGCCATGGCAGGTATGTCATCGCTCTTCTCAGATACATCTGTGTAAGGCCTGAAGAGGATGAGGTGGGAAACACCAGTATAAATGCAAGCAATGGACTGTTATCAATTAACTGTCTGCAATTAAATTGCTAATCTAGTTCAGCCACATTGAAAGGTTTTCTCCCAATTTAAACCAGCTGCTTCAGAAGGGGTTCTCTTCTGGAGATCTGTCATTAACTGCTCTACCCTGGTTTAAAGCCTCATAAACTTTATCAGTTTTTGTGTATGAAAACATGCACACACGCACACAAAGACCCTGCCAAGAATCTCTCACAAGAATTGAGATGCTGCAAGACTAACAGAGAAATATTTGTGACCTATAAAATATAGAACTATCCCAGCTGGTCTCTCAGTCTTCTGTATGCTATCTCTCCCATTTTCCTTCTGGGAATTGTACGTTCCTGTTATGTAGCCCAGCTGCTATACATGCATTTTCATGAAAAACTTTTGCATATATACAGAATTTTACTTCTGCAGCTGCATTCAGAAGAAAGATCATGGGAATCTGCTGTGTTTGACTGATGGGATGTGCTGCTTGAATATAAAGGAAATTGAGTGATTTCCCCCTTGTTTCTCTTTCTAAGGGTGAAAAAATGCCTCATTCTTAAGTTATATATTCACAACAGGTTCAGCACCTGGCCAGGCTTATCTGGGTTCAGAAATCAATCAGGGTGTGGCAACAGCAGTCACTCACTGTTGATTAGACAAGGAATTTGGGGGGGGGGGGGACCCTTGGGATTTTTAGAAAATAATTTTTATTTGAAGTTTTAACTGCAATAATAAAAGATAATACAAACTAAAAAGGAAAAGAGAAAGAGAGAGTAAAAGGTGCATGAAAACAAAAAAGAAAGAAAAAAATAGAAAGAAAAAGGAAAAGAAAAAACCTAAGAAAGCAAAACCCCACCCTCATCAGGACAAGTACAAACAATTTCACTATCTTGTCACCTCCTCTTAATTAACAGTTATAAAACTCTTCATCCCATGACTTGATTCTTAACTATAAACAAGTCTAATAATCAACTCTTTTCCAAACCAGGTATCAACAAAAAGTCCAAACAGAGCCCTAAAATAATTACATTAGTTAACAAATGTAAAACTCATCATTCCATATCTCACCTCTTAACTGTAAGCAAATCCAATACACACTTTTCAGTCCTGATGTCAGCAAGACCAGAAAGAACCACCCAAAATAACAATATGTCCCATTTTAACCCTGATCAAATAAGCCAACTTTGTATTCCTTCCTTTTGCATAAAATAATCTTGTTTCTTAATCCATTCAAATGATTACTGACCCTTGTCTCAAATTTCTTCAAAACTTTAACAAGCCTCTTTTGTAAGTCCAGCAAAAAGAAATTATCCCAATTGCTCTCTGGGGTTGGCATTTTTATTTCCTTCTTAATTTTTAAAGCCTCATCAGATTTTTTTTTTTTAATGTCCAATAAGAAATTCTTGTTCATGTTGTTCTCCATGCTTAAGTCAGCTAGGTTTTGTTGCAAATCTTTTTCTGTAACAGCTTCTTCTGAGAATAGACTGTTCATGAAAACACACAACATAGCTGATATTGATTCAAGATCCCAGTGCAATTCCTCAAAATTATCTCTGAATGCTATTATAAGTTGCTTCTCTTGTTATGTCTCCAATATTGAAAATATTTTTATTTCATTTGTGTTTATTACATGTATTGCATGTATTGCATTTATTTATTTAATGCATTTATTCTTTAAAATTAATTTCAAAGGCTTAATATTTAAAATCAAATATTCCAACATTTTCTGAGCCCATAATTGATTTAAAACTTTCTGTAGCCAAAACCTTGTCTTGCTTTTTGTTGTGCATTTTGAATTCTTAAAACTTATAAAGATACAGTTTCATTTTCTTGTATCAAAGATTGAAGGCACTGATCCAGTGTTTCCAGCCTTGCCATTTTGAAGGAGTCTAACTTCTTTAAAGTAGCTAATAGGCAATTTCCAAAAATGGTTAGCAAGGGAAGAACAATGTCCTTTGAAGGCTCCGACTGTGGCTGGAGCAAGAATGATAAATTCCCTCATCTCCTGGTTCTTCTACCTTCTGAAGACTGCTGCCTTGCAGTCTCCTTGTAAGGAGAAACCATATGGAGTACAACATGGATAATCTCACAACCTCTTTCCAGAGAGGTTAAAGGAGCTGATCTGCAAGTTGGCTTCTTGTTCTTAGTTACAATCGTCTACCATGTTCCTGAGGAAGTCCCACCCCCCCCCCAAAAAAACCCTTGGGATGAGGCAATAAGAAACCATTTATTTACTCTTGGAAAGAAACTTTGCTATGATTCTGAACATAGCCAAAATTTGGGGAAGATTAGGATAATTCTGGTCTGTTCTTACTTTTCTCCTCCCTCGAATCCAGCTTCACCACTTCCTGAGAAACACCCATTTTAATAACAGTGCAGGAGATGAAATCTTTTTTGATGAGAAGGGGGACTTTGATCCTGGATATGACATCTTCAACATGGTCACATTCCACAATAATTCCTTTCAGAGAGTCTGGATTGGAAGGATGGTCTCCAAAGCCCCTGATGGGAAAAAGTTCACCATCAATGAAAGTGCCATTGTGTGGAATCACAAGTTTCAGCAGGTGGGACATTTGGGGGTACTCTAATTAGGTAGGCTATAATTTCGGGGGGGGGGAGAAGATATTGTTCTTTGATGACCTGAAAGTCCACAAGTGAAGGACAGTGATGATATCCTGGAGCCTCATGGTTTTGCTGGATATTTGGTTTGGTATTTATGAAAATATCTACATGGAAAGTTTGGTTACTATCCCAAGTTGCATTTTGGAATTCATATGAGCTAAAAATATGTATAAGTGGGTGTGGGGTTTCTTTTCCTCAATATGCTACTCATTTTAAAAATTTGCTTTGAGAGGTTTTTTTTTTTTAATGAACAAAATAAACATTAGGAGGAAATAGTTTCAAAATGTGATGAATCTTCATAGTAGATACATTATGTGCAGAATAAATATGAGCAGGATATTATTTCTCTATCCAATTGAAAAAAATAAGCAAGTGTGTATAAAAACCAAGTCGAGTAAATATGCTGGCACTGGACAAATTTTTTTCAAGTAAACTTTTCCTTGTTTTCCACAAGGGGAAAAAAAAGAACCTTTTTGAGAATTTCCTCTCATTTTTAAAACTCTGCAATAGTATTTCCATTTGTAGTATCCCCTATTTAAACTTTATCTTAGGAAATGTTCTAGATGCAAACTTATGAATGGAGAAACAAAGAGAGCAAAATGGAGGTACAGTGGTACCTCGGGATACGAACTTAATCCGTTCCGTGACTCTGGTTGCAAC